AACATATATTTTCTAGTTGTTTGCAGAGACTCAATTTTCTATTCAAGGCCTGGAAACAATTGGCTTTTTTAAGTAATAAAACCAATTATTTGCAATACAGTTTCCCATTAGCGGGCACTCGCTTACAGAATCACTGATGGTACCTTTTGTGAGCTGGAGTAAAAGCAGACTGAAGATCATTTGTGCTTTTGGTACTCTGTGTAGCGTCATGAATTTTTCTTGAAGTCCCACGTTGTGAATTTTCCTAAGCACTGAAAGTTGCAGTTAGTACTGTAAAATTATAAGAATTGTATAAATTAGCCAAATATTCTTCATTTTTTCACTAAATCACCTATTTTAACGTTTTTCCAACTAGTTTTGGAAAGTATATTGGCGAGAATATGTCTTCAGAATAAATGAGCACTGTATAACGGCAAATGTTCCGCTCAACGCATCCACTTACCTCTTTGTTTGCCACCCCTTTGCCTCAGAACAAGCGTTCAAGAGTGGAAATACGAATAGTACCTCACGCAACAATCATGCGCATAGGTCGTTAATTGAACTGTTCTGCAGATAATGTCGCGACTGATTCTATTTGCCTTCACGACTGCTTTGCTTGCAGTGGCAGCGGCAAGACAAGGTATCTACCTTCGTTTACAAGCGTAGCCGCTTTGAAGTTAAATTTCTCTTATTAAAATAAAAATCTGCCAGGATATGGTAAAAATTAGTTGCCAGTGATTCAGGTAATTTTAGTTACTCACTAATAATTCAGATTTGTTGGAACGTTACCGAATATTATTATATGAGTTTCAATCTTTTACTTGACTTCGCACTTGAACATTTATTGTTTCATTGTCCACCATACGTCTTCCTAATTTTACTTTATTTTAGGCCTCTTTAGTTCATATTGTTTCATATGGGCATGCAAAGAAAATCTTTTCCTCCTTTTATTTTTTTTTTACATTTAATGACCATGCTCTTTTTCTTCTGCCTGGCTACAAACGCCTAAGACGTAGTTTATACGTATTTTTTTGTGCTAGGCAGCCACAGCTATGTGTTATTCAAGCAAGCTGATTCTCTAACTTCAATCCAAAATGGTGCAGTTCGCATTCTTCATCCACGTGGTTTTGTCCAACTTTCTTTTCTTCGAAACTGAATTTAGGACGGACATAAGAAAAAAGCACAAAAGAAGAAAACATATGCCTTATGACTAGGCAAAGGTCTGGACTGCAATTACAGTAGCTACGAAACTGACGAGCTGTACAGACAATGATGAATATTCCATTGCTTCCAGCTCAGGGGACGACGAATTTGCGTCAATTTCTGTGTGGAAGAAGTCCAATGAAACCGCGCGAAAGAAAAGCTGTTCTGGATGAGCATAACAGACTGCGAGCAAGCTTGGCCAGCGGGAAAGAAGTTAACGCTCATCGACGTTATATGCCAAAGGCATCGAACATGCGTGAACTGGTCAGTTCGCATCGCTCTCTATTTTACTTGCCCCGGATCGTACAGTTCGGTTTCGGCGCGTAGCTGTAGAAGGGGGGTGCTTAGAACAAATTCGCTTACACTGCATCCGCATACACCGCTATCGTCTTTCCGAGCGATCTTTGCCCTCATAACCAAAGTATTTTTGACCACTGCCGTGTTATATAGTTTCTAAATTTGTGCGCATGCATACGTTTAACTGTTTGCTCAGTGTGGAATACTTTGGCTCGGCAGTACAGTGTTTCAGGAACACATTTCCTATTTTAATGATATCAAGTACCTAAAATGAAATTTTAAGCTGATCCAAATTTATGTGCATAAGTCCGGAATAGAGAAGCTACAAACTGTCTTAAATAGAGACTCGCATTTGCATGCCTTTTGCCAAAAAGCACTTGTAATAAAAAGGGATCCCAAATTAGTTCATCTGTCAATCGTGAGTTCATAATTTCTCAAAAGGCTGTGACCATTCTCCGTCCTCCTAAACCAATGTATTCCTAGTGTACTGTGTTCCACTTGCTGTCAGAGACCAGTGCACTTAGAAGCAATTCATATAAATGTTT